CAGCGACGACAGGGGCGCGACGACGCGCCTCGCCCCCGTCCGCTGCGACAGCGGACACCGACCCGCCCCCGCTCAGCGGGGGAGCCAAGGAGCTCGACGACGGGCCCTGCGACGAGGGTAGGAGGGGGGGAGGGGTCACGAGGGGCGACGGTGTACCCGTCATCACGCCGAGACGGTAGGGGCCCTCCGACAGAGCGCGTACAAGAAGCGCACGCGAGACCTCACCGGCGCGAGGGGGAAGGATGACACGCACGACGAAAGGCGGACGACCGCCGAGACGAGCTCTCGTAGGCAGTACGACGGGATGAAGAGGGGAGTAAGAAAACGCACGTGTGAGCGCGCGGGGGTGTAGGGGGAATAACGACAGAAGGACACGCGGGAGGGAAAGAGGCCTCGGAGCAAGGGAATGGCTTGTATCAATCTCAACCACCGACATGTTTCGCACCACAAGCACTCGTGACCGCGGACGTTCACCCTTGAGGGGGGGGCCGTGTAGCATAACCCCCCCCCTGGGGGTTTAAATTAGATTAGATCAAGAACTAGATCAGCTACTGTAGAGCGTCGAGCTCTACAGTACCACCGCGCGTGTCCACGTGTACACCACGGGGACCAGGGACATGCGCATACACGTGCACACGTGTACAGCGCGCGAACGAAGCGCGCACGCACCACGGGTGATACGTGTACTGTCAGCCTCGACATAGCTGACAGTATTACAGTGCAGGCCGACCTGCACTACAGTAGCCCACTACAGTACCACGGTACTGTAGTGTTATGATAGAGTGTTTTGTATATTAAATATGGAGCGGACCGACGGCGGCGGAAGGGGACAAGCACGGGCTTGTCCTCAACCGACCGCCAAGGTCAGTCCACCCAGCTTATTCTAAACGTCGCCTTCGCTCTTCGCGCGCGTTTAGTCGGAGCCGAGCCGGAGTGGACGCGCAGCACGCGAGCGAGCACGGAACCGCCTCCGCCCGTCAGCCCTGGTACGTCACCCAGTGCTGCTCCGGGGCGTCGAGGCGTCGATCCGCTCGTGCGTGCGCGCGTCCCTGCTCGCTCCCGCTCTACCACCGCTACCCGGGCCCGAGCCCGGTTCCGTTGCTGGTTGGCCCGCTTCACCCCTTCTCCGAACCGGGGTCTACAGGTCGAACTGCGCATACACCTCCAGTCGTCTGGGGGTGTTTATGCTACAGTGAGGACATACAAGGTATGTTGTATACAGGTCAGGGTCGCTATGGCCGCAAACCTTCACAAGTTAACACACGCGGACGTCGAGCAGTTTCATCTGGAGCTAATTCAAAGGTGCCAAAGTTCGATCCCCTGTCTGTTTCCGGATGCTTTAACTGTGGCAATCCCAACCATATGTTGAAAGATTGCCCCAATCCTTTGAATGTTGCTAAAGCTGCATCGAGCAAGCTTGAGTATTACGCGAAGAAAAGGGGGACAATGTCCACCAACGTTCAACTGGTACTTGCGGAAGTATGTTACCAGATGGATAATAGCCTCCAAGTGAACGACACCCACCACAACGACTCACCCGAGTCAGATGGATCCGACGGCACCTTTCCAGAAAAGGATTTGTTTGAAAGCGTGCTTGATGATGTCAACGTTAACCTCTCGAGGACATCTCCGACTGGCCAAAGAGCAGCGAAGAAGGTCACTTGGAATTCCGCAACTGAACATCTCCACTACACCAAGTTGAGCGAGTTCGTCGAACACAACGATACAGTCATTGCGATGAACGATACAGAATTCAGTGCTGTTGGAGAATTCCTCGGAGCATGCATCGACACCAGTGCACAGCGATCTGTCATTGGCAAGCCGCAACCCACAGCATACTGCAACTTCATGGGCGTGGCCTTACGTCTCAAAAGGCTAAGTAATCCTCGTGTGTATAAATTTGGTGAAAAGAGATACAAAGGACTTGGCTCGATGTACATTCGTATTCCAATAACAGAGAGTCATTTTATTTTCGCTGAAGTTGAAGTTGCAGACCTCAACGTACCCTTACTGTTGGGACTCGACTTCCTTGAGCTGTACGGCATGAAGGTCGATGTGCCCCGAAACCTGCTTACGTCCGAAACTGGAGGATGGGAGTTGCCCATCGTTAGGAAACAAGGACATCTCTACCTTGAATGGCCAACAAACATGCTCTACACTACCGAAGAGTTAAGGAAAATGCATCGCCACTTCTTCCATCCCAACTCTGATAGGCTTTATGCTGTCATGAAGCGTGCCGATCCTGGGAAATGTTCTCCTCAAGACTTGCAGGAACTGGAGGATATAACAGCTCAATCCGATGTCTGTCAAAGACTAAGTCGTGCTCCAAGTCGCTTCCGTGTGTCGTTGCCACACAAAGACATTGTTTTCAACCGCGTACTCTGCATAGACATCATGTTCCTGGACCAGAGACCTGTCCTCCACTGTGTGGATAAGGATAGCAAGTTCAACAGTGCCGCGTTTCTTTCTGGCGAAACTGTTGATAAACTATGGACTACTTACGAGGACATATGGGCCTTGCCTTATGTGGGGCATCCAGAGCATATGCATGCTAACCAAGGGCCCCAATTTCGGTCAAGGCGTTGGGAAGGACTTTGTCACATGGCCGGAATTGAGCTAACATTGTCAGGAGTGGAACAACACAATGCTCTTGGTGAAGGCGAGAGGTATCATGCGTATCTCCGACAGGTTTATAAAAAAGTCAGGGCGGACTTCCGAACATTGGGGAGGAATACGCACTCAAGATTGCTGTCAAAGCCGTCAATGACACAGCTGGACCAAAGGGGCTAGTGCCGACCTTGTTAGTGTTTGGAATCATGCCTCGAACAGTCCTGGCACCGTCAGACCTTCCAAAACAGAAGGAGCGTATGCAAGCAATGGAATCTGCACGCATGGAGATGGCCAAATTCATTTCGCAGCGTCGCATAAATACCGCACTTCGGTCTAATATACCCGCAGCTACTTCATCCGATATAGCCATTGGCTCCGAAGTCTTGGTCTACAGAGAACCACCGGTTAACGAGTGGGTCGGTCCGCACAAAGTATGTGATATCTTCGGTAAGCACGTATTTGTGGAGTCAAAGGCAAGACTGGCGAAGTTCTCCATGGATAAAATCAAACTGTACAGACGAGATGAGAACACTGAGGGGGAAACTAGGGCTGTTCTATCGCAACCCTCACAGACTCGCGCTGTGCAGGATTCTGAGGTCCCTCGACCTGCTTTCTCTAAGGAGTTTGATGACTTAGTGGCAGCGCTCCGTCGAGATGTCGGAGCCCTCAAGCTTGCTACGGATGAACCTATCCGAAATGATGAGTTTTGTGTTTGGGAGGAAAGAGATATATTACCAACCAAGGTATTGTCGCCAAATGACCCAAATCGTGATTCCGATTACTTTCGGGAGGCGAAAGCTAGCGAAGTAGACGGACTTGCAAGAAGGGGCACATGGGTCGTTGTCAAGAAAAATGACTTACCACGAGGCGCTAACACCATTGGTGGACGGTTTGTGCTGACTATAAAGGGGTTTGGGACTGACGACGAGAAACGCAAAGCTCGTTTCGTTGTTCAGGGTCACATGGATAAGGACAAGGAATTCTTGGTACACAATACAACCGACCTCCGACAACGCTCCGTTCGAGTCATTGTTTCATTTGCAGGCGTCATGGGACATCGCATTTTCAGCCACGACGTAAAACAGGCCTATCTTCAAAGTGATGAAGAGCTTTCTCGCAAGGTATACATCTTACCGAAACGCAAAGACTTAAAGTTCTTCAACATTACAGAAGAAGAAGCACTTGACCTTCGCAAGCCGCTCTACGGGAACGGGGACAGTGGTGATTATTGGGGTGTCACTTTTGATCGCCATGCCAAGCAAGACTTGCACATGACCCCTACTGCTGGAGACCCTTCTCTGTACATCATTGTACCTGGTGGGTCCAAAAGGAAAACTGAGGAGGACGATGAACCTGAAGGCTGTATGGGGAATTATTTCGATGACGGACTTCTCGCTGGTAATGAAGCCTTCCAAAAAATGACAAATGCAACCCTACTGAAGTTTGAGTCCCGCGAACGAGTTTGGGATAACTTTGAGTTCTTTGGCTGTGAACTCAAAACAATTTCTCTCGGAGAATTTATGATTAGTCAACGTGACTACATTTCCGAAATAGGCATATTACCAAACGATGCGGATTTTGAACTCTACCGGAGCCGTCGGGCAGAGGGGGCATGGGCAACCCACACGCGCCCAGATATATGTTGCTTAGCTAATCGCGCGGCCCAAGTTACAAAAGAAGAAGGAGGAACTGTCGGTTTGATGCACATCAAACATCTCAACAGTGCCATAAAACGTATGAAAGCTACGCCTGAGTTAGGCTTGAGGTACAACATACTTCAGGAAGACACCTTAAGCCTTCAGGTGTACACGGACGCATCTTTTGGAAGCAATGAAGACTTCTCATCCCAGATCGGCTTCGTTGTGCTTATATGTGATGCTTCAAATCGTTGTCACGTCTTGGAATTTGCGAGTAAGAAGTCAAAACGTATTGTTCGTTCAATATTGGGTGGGGAGGTATACGCCTTTACGGAAGGATTTGATTGCGCATACATGCTTAAGCATGATTTGGAGGGTCTTTATCGCAAGAAGATACCAATTCAGATGCGTACCGACTCGAAGCAGATGTTCGATGTGATTACCAAAGCTTCTTCGACATCTGAACGTCGACTTATGATAGACATTTCTGCAGCTCGGCAGGCGTACAACGAGAACGAAATATCGAATGTGGGACTTGTGCGGTCCGAGCCCAATATTGCAGACGGTTTAACCAAGCCCAAGTTTTGCAAGTCCCTTGACGAGTTGATGCGTACTGGTGTAGATTTGAATCCTGTTGAACAATGGATTATTCGCTCTCCAAATGGCTCGTCTTTTTAAGTGGTGGGAGTGTGAGTGTGAGTATTGTCCTATGAAACGAATGGCATGGGACCGGGTGTATTCTTCTTCGTAATGATGACTTGCTATGTAGGACTGAACTTTCACTTCCTATTGGTGATTTACTATTGTTTGTATGAGAGTATAACGATCTTTTATGGTCGTATTGTAGTTCCTCGCAATTTGGTTTATGTGAGCGAACTGGGTTGGGTAGTATAAAAGGGTAGGCTTCTGACTCGACTAGCGAGAAGAATGAAGAGCCCAGCGAAAAAGGCAGATACACACAACACATCAAGGTCAGAAGCTTCCGTTCGTCGGAAGACCTGGATGAGTAAAACACCGTTCGTCGGTGTCACCGTTTTTTTCCAATTACTGTATTTTCCAGCCTGATTTTTCAGTATTTCTACAAGTACAGCAACAGATCAAAAGACTCCCTTTTTACAGTTCCCATGGGTACAGTACGGTACAGATCGGTGTGCTTGATTGCGCATTAGTCATTTTTGAGGTGGACACAACATTGTTTTTGGATAACGCGACCGCCTCACCACTCCCAAGGTTACGTAGTAGGAAAAGGGGTTTAGTTGCATGTCGACAAGAGCGGTCTGCTTCGGTCTGACTACGTTGACAAATATTCGCGGGATTAGATATTCTTCATTTCGAGTTGACCCCCCGTTCACATCGAATAGACGTCCTCGCAGCCTCGTTTTCGGAAACTTTACCACCATTCTGCATTTGACAAGGAATCGCGCCATATCTACAATACCTTATCCGCACCAAACATCGAAAAGGACCACATCGGCCAAGACCACGCCCAACATGGCTCGGAAAGGAACCAAGGATGATGACATCGAGGCCGCAGATGTGCATGCAATGTTGAAAAAGGGCAGTCTGATCATGAAAAGGCTCGAGGAAGTGTATCCACAAGCTCCCGAAGGATTCTTGGATCACTCGGATCCCTTTACCTTGCTGGTAGCTGTCGTCCTATCGGCCCAGTCACTGGACATCAAAGTGAATGAAATAACCCCCGAACTGTTTCGAGTCGGGGGCACGCCCGAGGACATGCGCGAGCTTGGCGAGAACAACATCCGTGAAATCATTAAGCAAATTGGCCTGGCCCCGCAGAAGGCAAAGAATCTTGCAAAGCTCTCAGCAGACATTGTCGACAAGTTTCAAGGCAAAGTCCCAGACAATTTTGACGATCTAGAGAGTCTTGCTGGAGTAGGACACAAGACTGCGAGTGTTATCATGATGCAAGCTTTTCAAAAACCAGCATTTCCGGTGGACACTCACATCCATAGATTGGCATGCCGATGGGGGTGCGGCGATGCCAAATCTGTCATGAAAACGGAAGAGTCGTTGAAGAAATGGTTTCCAGATCCGGAGACGTGGGGTCAACTACACACTCGCATAATCCTGTTTGGAAGAGAGTACTGCCCAGCTCGAAACCATAACATGGAAGACTGTCCCATTTGCTCTTTTGCCGCCACGGATGAGGCTTGGAACAATAATCGCTTGTTTCCTAAGAAATTCACTGCCCCAACTTCACACAAAAATCGATATTCAATTCGGGATTTACCTCCTCCAGAGAAGGGGGATCAAGTGTTATATACTCCGCCGTCCAAAACGAAGACCACTCGCAAAACAAACCGTAACACTGTTGCCCGTGCTGCTACCAAGATTGTAGAGCAAGTCCAAGTTAGAAAGTCTGGCCGTCGGAAGACGCCCGTATCGTACGTTGAAACGGAAAAGGATGCAACTAAGGGGCCACAAACGCCAGGCAATGAGAAGAAAACATCTGGACAACGCGGAAAAGGAAAAAGGAAGAAAGCCGCTGAGATGGTTGAAGAGCAGGATGCTACAGCAGCGGAAAATGCCAAGCCGGCAAAGCGATCGAAACGTCACCCGGGCGGCAGCAAGTCGACATACAAAAATGATTTGAGTTTAGACCTCACGCAGCACAAGCGCAGGAAGAGTTCAAGGATTCAGCAGAAGAACGAGAATGAGTAAAACGTTCGAGGAAGGTAGGAAAGACTGAGAGTTGTGATAGTGGCGGATCTTGCTGAAGCAGAACGCAGCTGCAAATTTGTGGTAGCATTTGGTAGCCTCTTTTTCGCTCCAAGGCATGGCCCAAGGCATGGCGGTAACTCGGTTTTATTTATTCTTACACCATGCGCGCACAACACCACGTCAGGCAAAGCAAGCACACCCACGACAAAAATCAGTTCGCAGAGAGGAAGCTAGAAATCGGAAACAACTTCCTTCCATCTCGGTTCGGAGTGCTGACTACATGTCCTGCTTAATACTTAAAAATTGCGAGGATTACATGTACTTAATGACTACCATTTTTCTATTCTCATGACTTCCGTCATCCATAGGTTGTCGATGCCTGTTGCTGAATACTTTCAAGATTCCTGAGCCAATAATCCCTACGCATGGTGTGATTTGCTGCAATGAGATACCTTCTCTTGGTGGTCTTGAGAACAAACTCGCAGCGATAATCCTTGTCCTTTGTTGTGGAATTCTTCCCTAGCCTCACATGGCTGTCCACCAACACGATCATCATGGAATGATGCAGTGCCACGTTGCCTTTAGCATCATACTTGAATAGAAACAAGACCGGTCCGAAATACGCATGGTCAACAATGCTTCCGTACCTCTTCTTCCACCCCATCATCGGCACGCGACTCTTCAACCACAATTCGCCCTGGCAGCGACTGAGTTCATCCGCAACCGTGCCGCGGTTCTCCGCGCTGGAATAGGAATCGATCGTTCCAGGCTTCATGCTATTGGTCTTGATCTGGTCGACAAGCTGGCGATGCACGCGAATAGTGCATCGCTGCAGGTCCAACCTCGCAGCTGCAGCACCTGGCCCCATAGTGAGTCTATCCGGGACGTCAAAGCCTGCGTCGTCGTCCTCATCGTCGCCCCCGCGCGCGACCGGGGCCTTTGCAACGCTAGCAAAGTCGAGCTTCTTGTCCCAGGGCTTGTCAACGTGTGGGTCCTGCGGATGGCCTTGGACGGACTCGTCAAAGGTATCATCAGGGGCCTTGCCGACGGTGGAAAAGCTGGCTCGTGCAAACTGGGCGGGGACCTGGGAGCGATAAACAGAGTCGCGTAGTGTGCGCCTGTTGGGGACGTTGGTGATGTCGGACAGGTCTGCTGTGTCAGCGTAGTCCATGGTGAAGGAGGGGAACTTGGGGTCGATGGGGATCTCGTCGGACATGC